AAACTAGTTCTTGCATATAAAGTTTATTCGGAGGTTTTTTCCATTAAAGGATTTCCATTTTAGTTCTTTTCAGCAAAATTTTATTTATTCCTGTTTCCTATATTGTATTCTGTGTTCGTTAAATTGCTAATTGATTTGATATCCTTGGGTTATCGGGTGTGGGCCTGGCCAACCCGCATCCGAAAATCCGGGGGTATCACAGTAAGGTACCCCAAGTATTATAGACTTTCACCGCAAGTAGAAGTGGAGAACCATACCTTCTTTTGAGGTCTAGACTCACTTATTAAATTCAAGATCACTCGGGAGTTAGGATTCTTATGAGAAGGTCCATATATACTAACTACCAATGCAAAAGACTAGATAAAGCCTGGCCAAAGTCCAAAACCTTAAATGGACTTGAAGTACATGAAATGTCGGACACATGTTTGGAGAGTGTGTGTGTATCCAACATGAACACGACATGGATACAGTATTTTTGTAGAAGTGTTCGTATTTTTTAGCTCATGAAAACCACATATTTTGTGTCCAAAAGAACTAGTCCGCCCTCGCAATGAGGAGAAAGTACACAATACCCCGGGGTACGATACCGCCGGATCTCTCAGTCATTGAATCATTCATCAGATGGGTCCCATCACCATTTCCAATGGCTGAGAACCCCTGGCATAAGTTACCCCGAGTATTGTAGATATTCACAATAAGCAAAAGTGGAGAACCATACCTCCTTCTTGGGTCTACACTCACTTATTAAATTCAAGATCACTTGGGAGTCAGGATTCATATGAGAAGGTCAATACTAATTACCAATGCAAAAGACCAGATAAAGCCTGGCCAAGTCCAAAACCTTAAATGGACTTGAAGTACATGAAGTGCTGGACATGTGTTTGGAGAGTGTGTGTATCCAACATGAACACGACATGGATATGGTATTTTCATAGACGTGTTTGTATTTTTTAGCTCATGAAAACCACATATTTTACGTCCAAAAGAACTAGTCCACCCTTGCAATGAGGAGAAAGTACACAACACCCCGGGGTACGATACCTCCAAATCTCTTAGCCGTTGAATAATTCATCAGATGGGTCCCACCACTATATCTAATGGCTGAGAACCCCTTGCGTAAGGTACCCCGAGTATTGTAGACTTTCACCACAAGCAAAAGTGGAGAACCATACCTCCTTCTGGGATCTACACTCACTTATTAAATTTAAGATCACTCAGGAGTCAGGATTCATATTAGAAGGTCCATACTGACTACCAAAGCAAAAGACTAGATAAAGCCTGGCCTAAGTCCAAAACCTTAAATGGGCTAGGCATTTGAGATCCAATGAAGCTTGAAGTTTGAAGCCTCAAAAGTTCGGTCAACAGCTCAACGATGGTCCAATAAAAAGTCCACTTTGACAATGAGGGGACATTAAGTTCCTATTTGGGGGAGCTTCTTAGGGCCTTCAAATGGGCTTCCAAGCCCAAAAAGCCCTTCCCAAAAAAATAACAATGTTTGGTGAAACTAAAGATGGCAACGGGGCGGAGTTGGCTAAACCCTACTCCACCCCATTAGAAAATCCGGCATACCAACTCCGCCCTTACTCCGGAACGAGCTTGTAATTATTATACCATCCCCGCCCCTACTCCGGCAGACAAAGTACCGACTCCGCCTCGTGTACTCCGTTTAATTGCAGGATAGGTTATGCCACTTTATTATTTAGTAACAAAAGCTAGCCAACTGTGCTCAAATTAATTGGGCTGATAAATAAGCTTGCCCAAATTTTAAATTACTAAATATTGAATATTAATATTTTAACTGACACTTCATAATAAGAATCTTAAATATATATATATATATATATAAAATTTAGAGGTACATATATAATGGGGGCGGGACGAGTTTAACACTAAATCCGCCCTCCGCCCCAAACCCGTTTCGAATTTTTAATTATTTTATCGTATCCGCCCCAAACTTATTTAGGGGACTACCAAATCCGTCCCATTAGGGACCAAGCAGGGCGAAAATCCGCCGAGTCAGACAAAATTGCCATCCCAATAACAAAGAAAAAGGAATTCTAATGAAAATAGAAGTCCAAAAAATGCGTTTAAAGGAAGCTTGAAGAACTTGTTTTTGGAACTCATTCGCGGGAAGCCAAGCTGATTTTAAGTAATAATTTTTAGTTACAAATTTGCCCTTATTTTAAAAGTGAAAAACATAAGACAGTTTGAGGATTTTGCAAAAAACACTCCCATTTGAATCTAACTCTTATTTGATCTCAAAGACCGAAGTGGAAAAGAGTTTGTAAAGATCCGTCAACTCTCATCCAAAAAATTCAACTAGTAGAATTCTAAGCAATCTTTCTATCTCTCAATATATATATACATGCATACATAGACAAATATATATATATATATATATATATATATATATATATATATAATTGTAAGAACGAACTTGCTTTTTTCAACGTGATTTTAAGTTAGGGTTCCACTATAACTAGGAATAAACTCTTTCGGACAAAATCCCCAAGTTGGACATCCAAGTGCTTCGATTTAAATTACCCGGAGGATGCCTTATATATATAAAAAAGATGAACAATCAAACCTATAAATTAGAATGATATTGGGTAATTTAGGAAAGGAAAAAAAAAAAAGATTGGATGAATTTTTTTTTATTATTTTTTTTTCAACTACTGGTTGAAATTGGGTGACGTCTCACCATTTTATTTTTATTTCCTTATTTTTTCTGCTGCCGCTTCTTATGTCGTATAAATGGGGTCAATTTGTATATGTTGATGTTCAGTTCATGGCGGTAAGTGAAAGTGTGATAAAAATTTGATATGCCAATTAATTGTTTACTTTTATCGATGATTTTCACTCCAATAGTACTATTATTATTATTTTTGATTTTTTTACTTTTTCTTGCTATATCCCAATTCAACCATGTCATATGTCCATATTATGCATGAATTATTAAGGATAAAATTGTTAAGTTAAATTCTTTTAATTGTTAAAAGAACTTTAAAAGAATGTATCCAAAACAACTTCACAAGAATGTATCCACCAAACAACTTTTTTTCTTATAAATTTCTTTCATTTAAATGCATTTTACAAAGCCCATTCATAGGAAAGAATTTTAAAATTAGGAAGCTCCCCCAAACAGAGCCCTAGATTATTAGGGTTAAGGTTTTTGACTTGTATAGTCGCCGCCTTACCTATAAGGGTGGCTCCATATGGTTGCCGACTTGCCGTCTCATTACTATTATTAGCCTACTCGTTGACAAGGTCTGAATCCGTCCTTGCTTACCTACTCCATTGACAGTTTCTCGATCCAAACTTACTTACCTAGCCTATTTTTCTATGTATAGAATTACTCGGCCAACAAGGAACCCTAACCTTCTGAAAAAAGAAAAAAGAAAAAACACTGACTCACCTACCCAGTGGGGAGGCAGCGTGTGCCTGGGGGCAGTGCCCATGCTGCCCCACTATAATTTTTTTTGTTTTTTTTATACATAAATTTGTAAAAATTGGTAAAATGCCCTCCTGAAATTATTAAAATTGTCCTTCTGCCCCTAAATCTACTAAATTTTATTTTATTTTAGGCATATAATTTGTAAATATTTATAAAACACCCTCATAAAATTTATAAATTATTCCCATAAAATTATCTATTTCTAAAAATGTCTTTAATTCTTTATTCTTTTTCCTTCTTATTCTTCAAATTTCTTTTTGTCATCTTCAAAAACTATTACGTTATCTTTCTACAATTAAAACCTATTTTTTCCTTCAAAATTTTCTCATATTTTTTTCTTTTTATTTCATTTTTCTTCTTAAAAATTTCTTTTTTCATACGCTCATGCATAATTTATGTGCAATAACCCTTCTTTTTCTTTTTTATGCTTTCATTCATTTTTTATTCACTTATTCTAATGTACTGTTGTTACACTATTATATTTTCGGCCTGCTTGAAAAAAAAATTATTTTGTCAATGTTAACATGCTCCTCTGAACCAAATTCCTGGCTCCGCCCCTGCACCTACCCCATATCCTCGCCTATATAAACCTCATGTTACCACGCTTGTATATTGCATTTCTTCTCTCTCTACACTTCTAAACATTTCATAAAGGGCACTTAGGAAAATGTTGTTGAGCTGAAAACACTTGATAGTATTTTTGAAGTTAGAGATATGTTATTGGGCTGAAAAACTAGAAATAGTGACCAAATTGGTGTAAGGAATTCAAAATGAACTTAAGCTATGTTTTATTGCATTGGTGTACTAAATTTGTTCAAATTTGGGTCAGTTTTTCTGAATATTAGGTGATCGTTGCAAAAGGTTGATGGTACCAGCTAGTTGAGGTTCAGAGACCTATGTGTTGGCTCGAGGATATGCTGTTGGAACCGGACATGCTAGCTAGTTGAGGTTTAGAGAGCTATGAGTGGCTTGGTGACAAGATGCACTTTATTTCTCTTGGTGTTCTATAAGTAATGGTATTTCTGACGAAAAGTTTAAAAGAATTGGGGAGCCAAATGCTCCATTCAATGAATACATTCGCTTACTTTTCATTTTGTTCAAATTCTTTAATCTTAAAATATTATTATCCGTTATCTATATATTTTCCTTCCTACCTTTGAAAATAATAATAATTAATAATACCATGTGATTTTGTAACACGATAAACTTGTGGACTTGTTTGAGTCGATACTTGATCAGCACAAGCCTACACGACATAAAAGTTTTGTGGGCGCCTCAATTTTTTTCAAACTCATGGTGCTAAGCTTCGCCACAACTAACATTTTCTTGAATGCATTCCCGCTAAATAGAAGTGTAATGTTACAAATAATTATTGATTATTATGTACAATTTCAACAAATGGTATCCAATAAAAATGAAATCTCTCTTTAGTTTAGGGTGTTTATCTAAATGTCAATTAGTAGCAAAAATTAATTAGAGTCTCGATGAAGATTAATTATTTTTTGTAATATTAAGATTATAAAAGGTAAACCATCACATTACTATGGATCCACTATGAATAAATTGGGTAATTCATTCATTATAAAAATAGTAAAAATTATCCTCATAAAAAATTAAATTCCGTAAGAGACACTTATTTTGGGACAAATTATTTTAGAACGAGTAATATGTTTAATTTGAAAACTAGTTATGAATGAGGGAATCAATAACTGAACATATAGACTGAAAGATGATGTGGTATGTCTTTTGAGTTGGGTGTACTGAATCCCAGAATGCATATTTGGAGGCATCAACGCAAACAGCTGATCCTGGATTGCATAGAAATGTTGTTTCAAGAAGCCCGGTCCCACAACAACCATTGGTAACATCTTCAAAACCTACATAAAGGTCAAACAGATCAACAGTCACGAATTTGAATTCGTCTTCGATCCTTTGGTGCAGGAATTAATAGGATGGTCCTCCTACGTACGTATATACTTACCAAACTGTCTCTGCCATTGGATCACGTCACTCAGCGGTTTGTATGCGTCCAGGTAGAGGATGGTGGTGCCATTGTTTTGCATGGATTTAAGCTTAATTTGGAGCTTCCGATTGAAGTCTTTAGCGACGGATGTTAGGGTTTCAACACAATGGCGTTGATGAAATGCGTCTCCTGAATAAATGGTGATTGCTAAAGGCAAGCAACCCATTGGAGGTAATCCGGTCACCATGATTTTCCGAGCTCCCTGCTCAATCAGTTCCTATAAACCCATAAATCACAACTCATTAGAATCATAATACAACAATCATGATTCTTTTCACTCCATCTAAATCCATATAAATATTTTGTTGGAAACCCACAAGGTGTTCTACCCTAGAAAAACTTTTTTCTTATCCATATGAAATTTAGTACGTAGTTATCTAAATTTATTTATGGAAAAAAAATATATGCATGTAATATATAATTAATAAAAAAACATGTTTGATCTTGCTTCGATCGGCTCTATATTCTGGATAATTAATAGGGAAAATTACATATAAATGGAGTCAAAGTTTCATATTTACTTAGAGGTTGAGTCAAAGTTTCATATTTCTTTAAAATGGATTGCTGAGGTGGCACATGGTTTTTTACTGTTTAGAAATTGTGGTGCCTAAAATACCCTTCCGTGAAGGTACTACTTTTTCTTCAAAGGTACCACTTTTTTGAACTGAAGGTACTACTTTTTGGTGTCCAGGTACCATGTTTTTTAAACACCCGCGAAGGTACTACTTTTTCTCCAGAGGTACTACTTTTTTGAACTGAAGGTACTACTTTTTTGAACTGAAGGTACTACTTTTTTGTTAGAGAAGGGCATTTTAGGCACCACAATTTTTTAAACAGTAAAAAACCATGTGCCACCTCAGCAATCCATTTTAGAGAAATATGGAACTTTGACTCAGTCTCTAAGTAAATATGAAACTTTAACTCCATTTATATGTAATTTTCCCTAATTAATAACTCCATGCAATGAAACAAAATGAGTGGACAAAATTATGCACAGTTCATCAATTGCTGTACCATTAATGGGACAAATGTACTAATGTACGGCTAGAAGCTTTTTTTTTAAACTACCTTTTAATTGTAGTACGAATTTAGGTCACATCAATATTGATAACATATATAACTCTGACCACCAACCCAACCACAATTAAGAAATGTGTACAAATAATAGCAACAAATGCAAATTAATGCTATAGTACTCAATCATAGATAAATAAAATAACATGTCAAAGGGGGAAAAAAAATGAACCTAGCTAGTCACCCAAAAAAAAAAAATTTATTGATGACGGATTCACAATGCTTTTTCATCCTCTCTGTACATATATATGCGAGTACATAATATCACATATCTATATATATTATCTGTAAAGCATTAATTCAACCAAGATCAAATCTGACGACATTATCGTTTGATTGATGACAATGCACAGTAGCAGGTAACGAACCTGTATGAACATTTGGAATTGTTGCATCAAAAACTGACTGTAACTTGAGGCAGAGTAGCTTTTTCGTCGAAACGGTGTAGCAAAATAATTGATAATGAAGTCGTTTGTTCCAGCACTGACAATGTATATAGCTCTGCCGATCAGATTCTTCGTTCTTTCTTTTCCTATACTGAGCTCAAGTCTTGCTTTATATTCTTTGAAGTATTGGACTTGTTTTTCAATTGGGATGACTTGCTGTACACGGACACATTCAATTCAATTCCCAAGTTAGCAAATAAACGGCCAAAATTAAAAAATCTGTTAATCAATAGATGAAATAAAATTCAAATTTAATATGACAAATATATTTAGGCAAATGCTGTGTTTTTAATCTTATTTAATCCTCGTGACTTTGATTGCTTCGTTTAATTTGCTTGCTTTTTACCTTCAATTAATTATAAATTATAAGCGCAATTTATCATTGTACATCTATAAAACACTTACAAATTTGAATATAAACACAACTCAACAACACGAGCTATCAGCGGAACTATATCTATATACTTATGTAAAATCAATACGTTTAAAGAATTCTTCATTCAATTCCATAATTTTTTTTAGCCTAGATAACTAGTATAAAAATCTTGGCATGCATGCACTTAATTTATTATGAGTGCTAGAATATCCTATGTTCAAATTAATTTGTTTACGTTGAAAAAGTTACAAGTGAACTACTTCATTCGTTTCAATTTAAGTGTCGCTTATATAGAATAGTAATTTTTAAGGAGACATGTGAGACATACATTGTCTGAAAAATTATTAACTTGTTCTTCTAAGTTTGGGATATTCAAATTTAAAATTTTAAACTCAAAGGACATATATAGAAAAATATGAAATATATTGTTTGAAAAAAGAAACTGAACTATTCTTTTGAGACAAACAGAAAAGGAAAGCATAACACTTAATTTGAGACGGAGGAGTACTTACCAAAAAAAAAAAAAAAACAGTTGCAAGTAAACTACCTGCACGCCCCTATTATCTAATTAATTGTTAGGTTGTTTAATCCACTGACAGTATATATCACATTTTTATAGATAAATTATATGATAGTTATATATATATCTATGTATGTATGTATGTATGTAAATTTTGAGAGAGAGACACTTAGTTGTGCTGTAAGAGGGTCGAATCCGGAGCCAGCAGAGGCAAAACTAACTCCGGTCATCAGCTCCTGGAGGCTAAGCGTTGGGTCCAAATATGGTGGCACGTTATCTTTGATACCAACATATGAAACTGTTCCAAACATATATATATACCAAATGAATCATAATTTACAATTATGAAGTTACACCGAATAATTTAAACTACAACAAAAGCAATTCAAACATACCAATAAAATCTGCAACGAGCCTTCCATTAGTAAACCTTCCAGTTGGAATGTGGTTCGGAAAATCTCTGCCATATGGTGGAAAATTGCTCGTAAAGGGAGTCCCAATGTAGTTATTGTTTCCGGGATCAACTGTAGAGTCTCCGAATGTGAAAGCTGCCGGAATTGATTTGTTAATGGGCTTCTGCAGGTTGGTAAGGGTTTGAGCTTTTGAGATTAAAATGATAAGCATAGAAAATAGTACAAAAATTAGAAAGTGCGTGTGGCAAATCATATTGAATAGTTGAAACCAACTCCCAAGCTCGTCGAAAAAAAAAAAAAAAAAAAAAAAAAAAAAAAAAAAAAAAAAAAAAATCTGCTTCTATTTCTATATCACATGAAATGAGAAGAATAAGCTCTTTCAATTTATAGCGGCCTCTTAATTATTATGAATCAGTTTGTTAGCTAGGTATTGTCATGGGTCACATACTTCTAGCAAATGACAATACGAATAAGCTGGTAAAGCAACATGAGCTGGAATTTTCGTCCTCGGAGAAGGATAAGTAGGAAAATGACATGTGACACGTTATATATATATATATATATATATATATTCAGTGTGTTTTAGTTATCGAGCTAAGGTTGAAAAGGAACACAATATATCCTCTTCAATGCTGGTGTGAGTGTGATACACGTTGTATTCCCGGTGCATTACAGTTTTTTTATTTAGGGTAAAGATCACCTCAGTTTAAAGTTTTAAACAATTTGTGAGGTCCACATCTGTCCGAAGATATATCCTTCAAATAATATATATATATATATATATATTCAGTGTGTTTTAGTTATCGAGCTAAGGTTGAAAAGGAACACAATATATCCTCTTCAATGCTGGTGTGAGTGTGATACACGTTGTATTCCCGGTGCATTACAGTTTTTTTATTTAGGGTAAAGATCACCTCAGTTTAAAGTTTTAAACAATTTGTGAGGTCCACATCTGTCCGAAGATATATCCTTCAAATAATATTTGATATATAACTAACCTTATAATAATATAACATGAGATATTTAATAATATGTTAAAAATAATTAATTAAAATATTAATTCGATATTTAATTAAAATGCAAATTAAAGTAATAAAATAATAATAATAAATAAAGAACCTAAACCGAGGTTAGTATTGAATATTATATCCTTAAGACAATTTACGCCCCGCATGGTGCTGAAGGACTCTGTGACGCTTATTTCCCAAGATACAATAGTTTACATCCACCAATAGCAACATTATAAACTCGTGAATACGGCGAACCTCCTTCGTGTAATACTCTCTCTGACTTAAAAATGCGTCTATACTATAAAAATGCTGAATTGGGTGTAATATGTACAAAATGGTTCGAATCAATCTTAATATAGCTCGATGAAATTGGATTAGAGTCTAAGTAACTCAGACCACTTGGGTTGGGTTCAAGTTTAGAGAGGGAAAAAGAAAAAAATGAATTGAACCAATTGCAAATGGTAGTCCAAGGGGGTATTTATAGAAATAGAAGTGCCTTTTTCGGATTGAGTGTGTCTCTTTATTATTGAATACAACCATTTATATGTGTCTTTTCATTACTGGATACAACTATTTATATGTATCTCTTCATCACTGGACACAATTATTTCAATTGATTGCAATGGTTCACATGGTGTCTGTTCACCACTAGACTCATCTACTCCAATAGGTTGCAATGGTTCACATGATGTTTGTTTACCACTAGACACATCCACTCAAATAGGTTATGTTTGTTCGATTGTACCTTTTCAACCAACACACCCATTCACGCATGTATTGTAATCCAATGCATCCTTACAATTTATTAACCGTTTCTAACCAATCCTTAACCACATTAAACATTAAGAATACAGTAGAGAATCGGTAGAGGTTATGTTAAATAAATTAAATTTTGGACTTTGCATGCAATCTTTACACTAATATATTCACGTTGTAGTTTAACGTGATACACATAGGCACTCAACTATAAATTAGTTGACTGACAAGTTTCATTCACACTTAAAATACTAGTTTTCATAACTAATTCCAACAACATCTTCTATGGGTTGATCTACACTCTTGATCACTGAATTATAATGCATAGGAGAGACTCTAAATTTAGATTAAAATGACTTGTGGTAATTAACAATTTCTTAAAAGAACGGACATTTAAGATTTGGAATAATAATTGCTCAATGAGGATTTTTTATAAAAAGAATATTTGATAATAGATGTTAATGGCTCAGTGGTATCAGACACTTCTTTCCAAAAGGTGATAAAGGATTCCAAAAAAAAAACTATTTGAGGATAGATGATGGTTTTCTTAATTCAATTTAGTTTTATGCCAAGCAATAGTTTAGCTCTTTGTTTTATTTTAATTTAAACTCTATTCCAATATTCAAGTAAATGGAATTTTTTCTTTATGCAAGTATTTTATTGATCTTTAACCAATTTCTTCGAATTTTTTTAAAGTCCTTCATTCGAGGCATGAAAATCTAGAGAGAAGGGTGCACAATTCCTACTTTTCAAGATCTTCCTGGTCATTCATATGAAGAATAGAAATGTTGTTTGATGTTAGATCCACGAACTTTGGCAATATCAATATTGATAGAAGTTTTTGTAACCAAACGAGTCGTACAAATGCTAATGGAACAATTACATCACAACAATTAATCTTTTGACTAATGTGTTAGAAATTTGGTGTGAATGGAAATTGTTAATTAACGAGTCTGTAACTGGAATGGTGTCACATAACTTTTGTAACATTAATAACCCATGAATCTGGTTATTTAAGTAGAGTGTTTCTGTAATACGAAGTTTCAAAATTATTACGAATTCTTGACATGTGATTCAACGTGGTTGAGGATGGGTTGGAAAGGTAAGGGATGCATTGCACCTAAAAGGGTTGTGAGAGGAATAGATGCAACCCAAACTTATGTCTGAACCATTGCAACCCAAAATGAATAAGTGTGGGATGCTAATAAAGGGACACGTCTAATTATGAAGAGGCATCATTTTCGAACTAATAGTTGCAACCCATTGGAGTGATGTGTCTGTTCATGAAGAGGCATCGTTGTGGCTATAAATACCACATGCTGCTATCATTCAATAATTATTCCAAATAGAGAATTCACGTGAATTCTCTGATTTCTTCTCTCCCTCTCTTATGAACCCAAGTGGGTTCAACGCAATAGTCAAGTGGTCTGAACCACTAGACCCAATATCTATAACAATGAGCCATTTTAAAATTGGTCCAAACCATTTGGTTTGAGTTGCACCAATTTCATCATTTTTATAGTATAAATGCATTTTTTGAGTTAAAGAGAGTATAACACAGAGGAGGTTTGCCGTATTCACGAGTTTGTAGTGCTACTACTTATGAAAGTAGACCGTTGTATTTTGAGAGACAAGCGTCACAGAGTCCATCAGCACCATGCGGGGCGTAAATTGTCTTAAAGACATAGTATCAAATACTAGCATCGATCCAAGTTCTTTATTTAATAATTATTATTTTATTGATTTGATTTTAATGTTTAATTAAATATTGAGTCGCATATTTAATTAATTATTTTAGCGTATTATAAATTATTTCATAGCATATTAGTATAAGGGTAGTTATATCTTAAAAGTCACATGAAATATATATATTTACCAACATAATGTTACTCTGAGGTCTTTCTCATGAGAAAAGAAGTTTTCTCTATTTAACAATTGGACGAAACAATATATTTTTGGCAAAAGTGCAAAAAAAACCCCTGAACTATTCACATTGTTGCAAATACCCACTTGAACTACAAAAAGTTACAAATACCCCCCTGAGACTCACCGGATCAATTTTTCCGGCGTGTGTAAAGCCATACGCCTGTTGAAATTATAATAATGCCCAAATTGCCCTTTTTAATATATATATATATATATATATATATATATATATATATAAATTTATTTTTTGTGATAATTATATGTCTGATGGCCCCACTCCGTACACAGTGTATATATTTATATATATATAGTATATAGATTCAATAGTGCATAGACACTGAATCTTTGATGATACAAAATAGTGTCGGTCTTCTAATTATTTCTCACAATAACTTTACTGCCCATTTTCATCAAACCCGCTAGAATACTTGTTTGTGTTAGAAATTCAATGTTCTTAGTTATGTTTGGTAAAGGCAATTATTATATAGGAGCGCGTAGGTGGCAAGTTGAATCACCCAAACCAGATATACAACCGGAACTGAAGAAAGATCTAATGATCAAAATGGGCTTCTAATGCCATTTAACTAAATACCCAAAGAAGCAGCGATCGAAGTTAGTGGGAACGGATCTGTGGGAACTGTCAAGCTGTGATTAAGCGTCACCCTTCACTAAAGCCTTACACATGGCTTTTTTAAGATTCTCCTTCCCTGGGACCTAAAATAAAGGATATGTTGATAGAAAATATTGCTTGTTCTAATACAGAGAGACGATCAATTTGTGGAATTGTTACAGAAACTCCAGAGATGAAATTTCCCTAATTTTAAATGGAAACCCTAACCATAAACCCAATTAAACCCATTGGATCTTCTGAATGTGGCAGTTAAGGATGGCAATGGGGTGGTTTGGGGCGGGTTTTCCATTCCCCATCCCCGCCCCCATTTAATTTTGATACCCCCAAAATCGCCCCATAACCAGTTCATTTTTTCCCTCTAATCCCCATAACCGCCCTAGCCCCATCCTCACTTGCCCCGCCCCCACCCCATAACCGATTAGGGCAATACATTCAGATCTGAACTTGCCCTCTCTCTCGCTCTGTCTCTGCTACTGCAACTGCAACTGCAACTGCTACTACAAAATCTACAAGAATCAGAAGGTCAAAACCTATATATTTCAGCCTCCCCAATCGCTTCCATCTCTATTCTCGTTCTCAACTCTGAACTTGCCCCCTCTCTCTACAACTGCAAACTACAAAATCTACAAGAATCAGAAGGTCAAAACCCATATATTTCAGCCTCCCCAATCGCCTCCATCTCTATTCTTGTTCTCAACTTTGAACTTGCCCTCTCTCTCTCTCTGCAACTACAAACTACAAAATCTATAAGAATCAGAAGGTCAAAACCCATATATCTCAGCCTCCCCAATCGCCTCCATCTCTATTCTCGTTCTCAACTCTGAACTTGCCCTTTTTATCTCTCTCCTGCAAACTACAAAATCTACAAGAATCAGAAGGTCAAAACCCATATATTTCAGCCTCCCCAATCGCCTCCATCTCTATTCTCGTTCTCAACTCTGAACTTACCCTCTTTGAACTTGCCCTCTTTATCTCTCTCCTGCAAACTAGAAAATCTACAAGAATCAGAAGGTCAAAA